AGGGCTGCGAACGGCAGCGCGGGTAGCACGCCCTCTACCCTGAAATGCAGAATCACATATATATGTGATCTTATGCACAAGGGCTGCCCTGTAGCAGTAAATGTACTATAGGGCGGTCCTTAAGCGGTTAAACGGCACACAAACCTTTACAGTATTTAAAGAGTGAATGTATCAGGGATGGAAATGTGTCTAATAGCCGCATCACTGCTTGGACTTTGTCCTTGCAAGAATGGCCTCTGGAAATTTTATACAAACAGAACAAGAAAAGTCCAGAAGCCCAGGGCCTAGCTGAGCTCCATGATTGTTGTAATTGATCCCTGTACGGAAACCCTGGACACTGTCATCTCCCTACAAGGTTTATGATGAAGAATACTGTAAACAGTTGCCCTGTGTATATGTAGATGGTTGCGCCTATCATTCCAAAGATGGAGAGCAGCTGCAAATAGTTGTAGGTATCGGGATTGTATGGACCGAAGGTGTTACCCCGATCTCTGTGGGATACAGACTTGGACCAAAAAGCAGCTAGGTTGCTGAACCTACTGCAATCCTGAAAGCTGTTGAGATGGCCATAGATTACAACATTAAAGAATTTGCCATTATAACTGATTCCAATTACGTTAGGAATAGTTTTGTAGAATATTTTCCCAGGTGGCAACAATAAACCTGTAAAACATGGTATGTTATTCTGTCAAATAGATCAGCTACTGAGGTCGAATGAAATAACCCTGTATTTCAAGAAGACCAAATGCCACTCCAAAGTCCAAGGTGCAGAAAAAGAAGGGAATGATTTGGCTGATTCTCTAGCCAAAGAAGGGGCAATAACAGGAGAATTACTGGATATACAGTAGATCATCTATTAGGTACAATACAGACAGAAGCTATCACTAGGCAACAAGCAAGAAAAGCAAGTGATCCTAATGTGTTACAGTGGAGTCAAGATTCTCCCAGTGAGGATTTAATTACCGCCCAAAAAGAAGACCCAGTAATGGGTTTATTTTATAGACATTTAGAAGATCCCAACCAAAGTCTTATTAATTAGTAAAATTGTTCTGGGAAAGAGGATTTACGTATTTTAATGACATCCATATTCTAACTTGCATTGCATCAGGGATTGTTGATACAAACCTCTAAGGGTGGTATCCAACCATGGGTCGTTCTGCTTAAATTTAGAGTTCTAATGTTGCAGCATGCCCATGATGGTCCTACTTCCGGGCATCGCGGAGAAAAGATCACATATGAGATCCTTTGGGATTACGCTTACTGGCCTCATATGTTACATAATGTGAAGGCGTACTGCCAAGGCTGCTTAACCACTTCAATACTGGGCACTTTTACCCCCTTTCTGCCCAGGCCAATTTTCAGCTTTCAGTGTTGCCGCACTTTTCACAATTGAGCGGTCATGCAACACTGTACCCATAAAAAAAGTTATCTTTTTTTCACACAAATAGAGCTTTCTTTTGGTGGTATTTAATCACCACTGAGTTTTTTATTTTTTTGCTAAATAAACAAAAAAAAAAAAACTTTTGAAAAAAAACACATTTTTTCTTTGTTTCTGTTATAAAATTCAGCAAATAAATAACCGATCTACAAGAATTTAGGTCAAAATGTATTCTGCTACAATTCTTTGGTGAAAATACCCCAAATTAGTGTATATTTAGTCTGTAGGAAAGTTATACAAAACCATGGTATATATATCTGACAATTGATCAATCAATGTATCGACAGCCAATCTCATTTCTTGAGGTCCAAAATGCTATTAAAATAGATATTCCAAGGTATTTAGGAAGAGGCATGGTGAGTTTTTTTGTGAAGTTGTCATTTTTTGTTACAATTTTTTGGAAAATTAAGGAATAAAAAAAAAACAAATCACACAATTTATTAGTCTGTAGTCTCTTGTGTACAGAACAAAGCCCCAGACAATGGATTCACACAATGGGAAAAAAAAAAAAAACGCACTAGGACTCCATTGGATGTCAAAAAACATAGCAGCTAGCATGATACCATAAAACATAGTATAATAAACATCACAAGAAAATAGTGCAGCACTAAAATATATTAAAATGTATGTGCAATACAAGAGTGCAATGCAAATACATCAAACTCTTATGTGTCACCACAAACGGAAAAAATAAAGGAATCCAAATGTGAAGCCAAAAACTGTGAATTCAGTGGTACTTCCGTTATGAGGGAAATGACAGATGTGTATGTCAAACACCACCAAAACTTCTTAATGACGAACCACAGAGCACCTCAGTGTACAACAAAGGGAGGCTTACCAGAATCATATGATCCTCAATTAAGAGTGGTCAACCAGCACTTGTATATCAATCCAAGACACCCAGCTTTCCTCAAAACCACATGTAAAACGATGGTACTGCTGTGTTATACCAGATCACTGTACATATACACCCGGTTGGACATAATATCATGAAAAAGAAAAAGACAGGCTCTCCATAGTGTAATCCAGATTAAAACACTCATATAATGTGGTAAATGCATTTACAATGAAAAGATGACATTTTAGGCACTTCATATCATAAGAAACAACTTGTATTCCAAAATCCAAGATGACTGCAGCGGGATTACATATGCGTACTGGCGTGTGTTCCTGTCTCTGCCCACCACTACGCATATGTAATCCAGCTGCAGCCATCTTGGATTTTTGAATATAAGTTGTTCATATGATATGAAGTGCCTGATTGTCACTTTTGCTGCTTATACACTTTTGATTTTCTTGAAGACACTTTCGATTGCCAAAAAGGACATTTTGCTTACACACACTTTTGCTGGTTGGAGAGACTGCTGCTTGCTAAAGAACACTTTTACCTGCCTACCGTCCCATCCAAAAATCTCCTGGGAGTGGTATATTGTGGCCAAAGTATCCTAACTTTTATCTACACCAAACTCATTAATAGAACTTTTTACCTGTTTTTATTGAGCTGTTTATAAATATAAATGTAATAATTTATATTACCATGCACAGGCATGGTAAGATAACCTGCTAATTATTCTGTAATTGTATAGATCTTGTTGAAACATCGAAATTGGATGGTGTATAAGGAGACTGGGTGCTAATTTATTGTATCCTGTTGTATTGTCTGTAGGAAATTGAGTATTTATATTTTTTTTTTCTCTATATTGATATGCTGCAAACTTACTGTTTTTAGGATGCATTTGAAGTGTGTTTCCGTTTGTTATAATATCAGAAGTAGTTTCTTCCCTTCCTTCGGCTGTGAAACTTGGGGGAAACTGCACTGAATACTGAAATATAATATTTTGCTAATTTTTGATCAATCAAGGGTTTTGGTATTTTACTCTACTAGTGTATACATTGGAAGATTGACCTAAATTGCAGTTTATCGTGGTTTATTCCTTTGATCGTGTGTGGGGAAATACTAATCACCAGTAAATTTGTTTGTATTAAAATATATACAATTATTTTTGTATATAAATAAATGATTTTATTTATTAATCAAATTTGAGCTATTTGTATATCTGGTAAGAAATCACATTGGTAAAATAATTCAGGAAAGTTAAATTGTATTACATATAGTTAAATAGTTAGTCTGGCTGAAAAAAGACAAAAGTCCATCCAGTTCAACCATTTAAAAAAAAAAAAGTTATAATCCTATGGCCACAGTTGATCCAGAGGAAGGAAAAAAAAACCCAGCAAAGCATGATCCAATTTGCTCCTGCAGGGGAAAAAAATCCCTCCTGATCCCCCGAGAGGCAATCGGATATTCCCTTGATCAACTTTACCTATAAATGTTAGTATCCAGTTATATTCTGTGTATCTAAGAAAGAACCCAGGCCTTTTTTAAAGCAGTCCACTGAGCTGGCCAGAACCAACTCTTGAGGGAGTCTATTACACATTTTCACAGCTCTCACTGTGAAGAAACCTTTCCGTGTTTGGAGATTAAATTTATTTTCCTCCAGATGTAAAGAGTGCCCCTTTGTCCTCTGTGATGACCTCAGGGTGAATAGCTCTACACCGAGTTCACTATATGAATCACTGATGTATTTATACATGTTGATCATATTCTCCATTAATCTGCTCTTCTCAAGAGAGAATAAATTCAGTTCCTCTAATCTTTCCTCATAGCTGAGCTTCTCCATGCCTCTTATCAGTTTGGTTGTCCTTCTCTGTACTTTATCCAGTTCCCCAATGCTCTTTTTGTGAATTGGTGCCCAAAAACTGAACTGCATATTCCAGATGAGGTTTTACTAATGACTTGTACAGGGATCAAATGATATCTTTCTCTCTGGAGTCTATACCTCTTTTAATACAGGAGAGGATTTTGCTTGCTGTAGAAGCCGCAGCTTGACATTGCATGCCATTATTAAGCTTGTGATCTACCAGAACTCCCAGATCCTTCTCCACCATTGATTTCCCCAGTTGTACTCCCCCTAGTATGTATGATGCATGCATATTCTTACCCCCAAGTGCATAGCCTTACATTTATCAACATTAACCCCCCTAGCGGTCTGATTATGTCCATATTTCTGTGCTTAAAGCGGTACATTTTTTTGCATGGAAATATTTATTTTTTTTATTGTAGGCCTGTAATTTTTAGGAATAATTCACTTAAATCTGTCCGAACAAGAGTCTAGTAAACATCCTGGGTAGGATAAAACTTGAAACACGAAATCATAAATTATAATTTAATAAATAATCATAAAAAAATAATAATATAATAATAAATTTAATTCAATAATATAATCAAACCAAAAACACTGAAATTTGAAATAGAGCGCCAAGTTCGCACATCACTGATCAAAGTCGCAAAATAGTTTTCAGTGTCTGATGATGAATTTCCCCTCAAATCATTATCACTCAATTCTGCAAGTAGTTCTAATTTACTATCGCTGTTCTCTAGCCGGTCTAAAATCGCTTTTGACCTAAAGGGATGCTTTTTGGAAGCCATGGACGTTTCTCAGTTTCCAGGCAGAAAGAACAGTAAAAATGCAGGCAGAGCACAGGATAAAGCACTCGGGACAAAATGTATGTGAAATGGTTTGATACAGTAATGTTTTACTATGTGATTTTAGTGTATTTATAATGTCACTTTTTGACATTTTCAAATTTCCCGCCATTCCGTCCCCCGTACGTCCCGACGTCGCAGGGGATGGAACCCGGAAGACAGATGCCTACATTGCCGGGGACACTGCAGGAGGGACAAGGTAAGAGAAGAACAGATCCCAGAGCAGCGCTGCATGGTAAGCCCGAGTGTAGCTCGGGGTTGCCGCTTTTGGTACTGAAACTTTACCCCGAGCTACACTCGGGAATACCGCCAGGGGGGTTAAACCTCATTAGCCACATAGTTGCCCAATTAAACAGTGCATTGAGGTCAGCATGAAAGTTGAAGACATCCTGTAAGGACATTATTCCACTGCACAGCTTGGTGTCATCTGCAAATACTGAAATGGGATTTTTAATCCCAGACCCTATATTGTTTATAAATATATTAAAAAGTAAGGGTCCCAACACTGAACCTTGGGGTACACCACTGACAACCCTAGACGATTCAGTGTATGAATCATTAACCACTACTCTTCTACTACTAACCACTACTAATCCGATCTTTTAGCCAGTTTTCTATCCATTTACATACGGATTTTTTCCAAGCCCGTAGACTTTACCTTACACATTAGCCGTGTGTGGGGAATGTGATAGCTATTTTGGGCTTCTAATCATTTTTCACCTTCATGAAGGTTATTGTGAACTTTTGAACTGTGGGGAAGGCCACTTAAAAAGACTCAATTGAGGTGAGGGGGATGGAAGGCAGCTGGGAATTCCTGTTTTTCTTTAACTAAACTGACCCCACCCATTGGAGGTTAGGATATGTGGAAAGGTGTGAATTTACTTGGGTGAGTGGGTGAGTCTAGGGGTGGTCTTTTGCAGAGTAAATAACACCTTAGCAAAACCCCCAATGTTCTCTCTTTGTCCCCTTGCCTCTTTGGGAGTCCAGGCATCAGAACATCAGGATGTCTGTGTAATGTATCACCATTGCTCTGTTTCTTTCCTGTAACTTTATTTCCTATAGTCATCTCTCTATGTAACATTCTGTATTTGAATTGTAATATTACTACTTTTAAAGTTATACCGCTACATTATATTTTGTTATATGCTATTAATAACAAGCTTCTTTTTCTGTGTAAATAAATTAATTCTTTATTTTTTGCACAGTTGTTATCCTTTGCTATTAACATTATTGGTAATAGCCACATGAGGATTGGCTAAATTCATGTATAGACCAAAGGTTGTAATCACTTATTACATTTATAAACTTAGATAGAACCAAGTGAATAAGTGCGGTAGCAAAACCGCCAAAACAAATGGTGCCCCGTGTGAGGAAGTCTGAATGTTTAGGTAAATGTTACCTCTTGTGTGGAATACAGAGCAGTATTTACATCTTTATTCATTTTCATGTCTATCTTCCATGTCTGACTGAAAGACCTAGACTAGTAAGCTTTGTCGAACGTAATTTTTTACCTTTTGTCTTTACTAACACTTTTGATGAGCCTGATTATGAACAGTATAATTGAAATAAAATTGTACTGAGAGTGAATGAGGAAACATCCTAACTGCTGGGTTGCGCCTATTGCAGCAGGGTGTGAGTGTGGATGAAAAGGGATCTGACTGAACTCTTAAGAGGCAGTGAAATAAAATGTAGGATCTGTGCCATTTTGCCTAAAGGTTTTCAGTTGACCGTCAAATGAGACTAGGTCAAGACGCTTCCCAATCTTTGCGACTGAAATGCACCTGTGGGCCTAAATCACACGGAATGATCTTGTGTATGAATCTGTCCTCTTTGTAATTTACTAACTGTGGATTGTAAGCGTGTAGTTAGACCTGTGAACAACAGCTATATTGTAACTACTACAAACCATACTGCAAATAGTTGTGCCTCAATTAACTGCCTGCTGTACTCCAAGTACTCATATTTTGATTATTCAAGTTTGCTCTAATCCTTCTTGAGATAATGGGAGCAATTTAGGAAAAAAATCTGTCAGAATACTTCAGAAAAGTCCACGGGGGAAAATTGAACTATTGGCAAGTTCGGGAGATCCCCAGGCTGTTTGAAGGGTTATAGTCAGAACAGGGAAAAAATAAAAAGTTTGTTTTGACAAGTAGTGAAAAGCAGGGGCGGTACCAATCACTGGCCAGAGATTAGCTACCTCTGGGGATAACCGCTTAAGGTTGGGAAATTATTCCAGGGTCCGGTATCCGTAAGGATGGGTAACAGTATCAAGTCAAAGAGGGCATCAAAGTATGGTAAACCCTGCCAACTGACTCCAAGGGAAGAGATGATAGGTAAATATGGACCCTGGGTGGTAAAATATATACATGATTGGGAGTGCTGGACTGGAATTAAAAGAGATCTTTTTAAGCCAAAGATTTGGGGGAGTCTCTGGTATGATCATCATAGAAAGATGACACGCCCAAATGAAAGAGATGCTTGGAGTATATGGCTGTTAGAGTCAGTGTTGTAGTTAGGTTTTGTGCTGCCCTAGGCAACACAAAAATCAGAGCCCCCCCCCTGCAGAGAGAGCCTTCTACTACCACAGCCCCCCATACACTAGCCACCATCCGCCACGACAAGACAGAGAAAGACGCTCGCCTTCACAGCTCCGCACATCCCCCGGGAACAAGAGTCGGGCTATGCATACACCATCATGAAACCCACAGCCTCTCTCAGAACTCACCAGGTCCCCATGCCATGTGTGTCCCTTCTTCTATCCCTTCTTCCGAGGGGCAGTGCTGCCCCTCCTGAAAAATGCCGCCCTAAGCAAATGCCTTGTTTGCCTTGTGGTAAATAAACCCCTGGTTAGAGTCAATGAGTAGGGCGGAGGCAGGGAATATTTTTAATATGGAAACTAAAGAGCAATCATTCCAAACAACACTTGAACGTAGGTATATGCAGGAACAGTCACAAAAGTCTAAACCCCAGAATTGTGGCAATGATGAACAGGGGGACAATGAGCAACCGTCAAGACCTCATGCAGTTACCCAGTACTTGCCAGTGGAATTCTCAAGCACTGATATGGACTGTTATCAGCAGTTGACGAAAAGGGAGAGCCACAAGGTAAGGCCAAAAGACTGTGAGGAACAGGAAAAAGAACGAGGAAAGCAGAGAAGTTAGGCAGGGAAAGGCCAGACTGGAGTTAGAAGAAGATACAAAATCAAAGCCTAGCGGGGAAAGTTGTAGTAAGCGTGCAGGAAATACTCCACTGATCTTTGCTGCCTGATCTTTGCTCAAGTTGCAAAAACGAATCCCTAAAGGAAGCTCTTGAAATATCCAAAAGTGACATGAGTAGTTTAAAAATTTCTGTAACTAATTCTGATGCTAGTCACCAACAGCTAACAAGAGATAACAAAAGATTACATGAGGAAATGGATCAGTTAGTACAAAGGTTGAAGAATGCAGAAAGTGAATTGAATCAATTCTCTGTCAACTGCCAGAAGCAGCTCGCTCATTTTCCCATTAGAGTAGATGATAAAAAGACTGATTTAAGTATATGTGAATTCCATGGGAAATCATCCGCCCCTAGTGTATGTGCGAATATCTCTAAATCTCTGGATGGTAAGAGCACTTGTAAAGCTGCCCCTTCATCTTGTACGCAGCCAGAAAAAGTTGCTAATCAGGTGGCAGTCACTGAATATTCTCAGTCTAAAACAAAGCCTTTAGTTCAGATGCTGTACCACCTTAGAAAAGATCAAATGTTATGCATGTGGATTATTTGGCCACATTGCTCGATTTTGTCTATCCTCTTCTGTTGGAAAGGTAGTGAAAAAAAATCCATATAGGACAATGAGACGTGATGTTGAAGTGTATTCAGCACGCTGTGGTACATGGCCGAGGTGTAATAAGTATGAACAGCCTAGATTATGGGTCCCATTCCAGCATATTAGGGTAAAGAATGCATCTATACAGGCTGACAATAAGCAACTGAAACGGGATGAATCATTAAAGGAATCTCAAACTTCCAAAACAGATTTTATGGAAGTAAAAAGAAAAAGTCCAGCTTATTGGAGAAGACATGCTGGTATCTGTGGTGTCTGAAGTTTGTATTTAAATCAACAAATTGTAAGAGTGTGTTTATGGAATTTATGTTGTGTTGTCTGAAGGTAACTGTAATGTTTGTTTAGAGCAGGGTCCTCAAACTTTTTAAACAGGGGGCCAGTTCACTGTACCTCAGACCATTGGAGGGCCGGACTATAGTTTTAAAAAAAAAACCTATGAATAAATGCGGACACAGTACAGGAGAAGACCAGAGACTGCATACACAGTACAGGAGATGACCAGAGACTGCGGACATACAACGGCGGCGGGAATACTGGGCCGGCCACTCCATAAGACACACAGACATTTCCCCCCCAAGTGTGTCTTATGGAGCGAAATAGTGCCCCATCATTGGTGTCAGTGGGAGGAATAGTGCCCCATCATTGGTGTCAGTGGAGAAGAAAACGTGCCCCATCATTAGTGTCAGTGGGAGGAATAGTGCCCCATCAATGGTGTCAGTGGGAAGAAACGTGCCCCATCATTGGTGTCAGTGGGAAGAAACTTGCCCCATCATTGGTGTCAGTGGGAGGAATAGTGCCCCATCATTGGTGTCAGTGGGAAGAATTGTGCCCCATCATTGGTGTCAGTGGGAGGAATAGTGCCCCATCATTAGTGTCAGTGGGGGGAGGAATAGTGCCCCATTGTTGGTGTCAGTGGGGGGGAGGAATAGTGCCCCATCATTGGTGTCAGCAGGGGAAGGGGATAGTGTCCCAACATTGGTGTCAGTGGGAGGAATAGTGTCCCATCATTGGTGTCAGTGGGAGGAATAGTGCCCCATCTTTGGTGTCAGTGGGAGGAATAGTACGTCATTGGTGTCAGTGGGGGGGAATAGTGCCCCGTCATTGGTGTCAGTGGGGGGGGATAGTGTCCCAACATTGGTGTCAGTGGGAGGAATAGTACCCCATCATTGATGTCAGTGGGGGAAGGAATAGTGTTCCATCGTTGGTGTCAGTGGGGGGGTGGAATAGTGCCCCATCGTTGGTGTCAGTGAGGGGGAGGAATAGTGCCCCATCGTTGGCATTAGTGGGGGGAGGAATAGTGCCCCATCTTTGGTGTCAGTGGGGGGAGGAATAGTGCCCCATCGTTGGCATTAGTGGGGGGAGGAATAGTGCCCCATCCTTGGTGTCAGTGGGGGGAGGAATAGTGCCCCATCATTGGTGTCAGTGGGAGGAATAATGCCCCATCATTAGTATTAGTGACACCAATGATGGGGCACTATTCCTCCCACTGACACCAAT